GATGCACTTCGGGGGATTCTGCATCTGCTGATCACAAAGACCATTACAGTACAGCTACAGGCGAGCAGCATAAACCGGAATATCTCGGTTCTTGGCGTACTGAGGCGGCGAATTATCCTGGCAGTAACTATTACTCTGTTGGAGCACCTGTTCGCCTCGTCCCCAGCTACAGATCTGGACGGAAAGGAAACCACAGCGAGCCTTACTGGAGTTATGGCAAATCATACGGTAGACTCCTGTGAATAAGTTGTTTGGTAGGTCTTCGAGCAGGTAAGGGCACGTCACTCAGAGCACGTCGCTAATGGTGTGACGGAGGATAGCAACTCAGGTGATCAATCTGCCTGGTATTGGCATGTAAACATTTCTTTGTTTGTGCCGTTTATCGTTCTGTCTTGGAGTCGATGCCTGTAAGAAGGACCAATTAAGGGGAGAAGGGCTTCTGCACGGGTCTTGGGTGTAGTTAGGGTATTGCTATGAGTGGAGTCATCAGTATCCGCATTCAATTCGAAATCTCCCTACATAGGGTTCTGAATAATATGGGCCACAGACTGTCATCCGTAGATTTAACAGATCTCGTGACCTGTTAATGTTCCTCTCGCTCTGCGGCTTCAGTCGGCCATACGTGTCGACTGCTGTTGGGCCTTGGTGTAGTCTGGTGTGCCCATTCGGCTCTGCTGTGCATTAATTATGAGCTCGGAATAAGTTTGATTTCATCGACAGTTTGGCCGAGTGGTCTAAGGCGCTGGCTTAAGGCGCCAGTCCGAAAGGGCGTGGGTTCGAACCCCACAGCTGTCATACATATTTGGTGATCTATGGCTCTTTTCTCTCACCCTCCCTGTAGGCGACTGCCTTGCTGAACGAATCACGAACTCGGGTGAGAAGCCTCAATGATGGAGCTTAGCGAGCCAAGTGGAGATTTGAAACCTTCATGAGAGACATGTGCAGTGCACATTGTGGACGCAAACACGTATGTCATTAGCGGAGCTACCGTAGTATTGAAAGAGTCAACTTGACCTCCAGCGTTCCTACTTCAACCAGGCCATCAGCGAACCTATTCTAGAGTAAGTTTGAGAGGCAGTCTTTGTTGTTCCTTGGATTCCTCTCCCAGCAATAATCATTCTGCTATTATCAGCTCGGAAGGAATGCCGAGTGCCACAGCATGAATCGACTACATTGTTGGTGTTCTATGACTCTTTTCTCTCACCCTTCTCACCACTTCCTTACCGTATCGGTAAGGAAGTGGTGTACAGTATAGAGTTGCGTGCTACTTTATATTTTAATCGAATCACCTACTGCCGTGTTGAGTTCGTCATATCATGAATCCTGAAGTGATACGTTTAAGATGATACGATGATCCTATCGGAATCAACTACGCTCATTATTCGCTACGAATGCAATCGATACACCTCGCGACATCGTCACCCGATGGCAATTGTTTGACCACCGTTGCATGTTTAGGGTTCTCGGAGTCCCTAGGCATTGAGGCAACCCAACAAAACCTGAGCCAAGATATGGTTACGGTATTTCAATCTTCCTACAGCACACTGATTGAAAGGGTCACTGTTCAGCTGAAAGTGAACGCATAGTATGCGTCGCATACACAACATGATTGGAGACACCGGTGGCACCAATCCAGTGTCACGATGTACTCAATATGGAACTCAAACATTGGAGATTGACTATCCACTAAAAATCAAAAGTTTTGACTCAAAACAGGTGGCTTCCTCTGCGTGATGCGAACCCTTGAAAGCACTTCTCCAAATTCGGTAGGTTACCCTTTCGAGATCCTCTCCGCGTATTTTGGTTCACACCGATCTGTTTGTCAATCAGGTTTCTCGATTTTGCGATCCGCATTCCAAACACATTGGACGTTAGCAGTGCTGCGGGGCTCCTGTATGGAGATGTGCACCTTCTCTTGTGGGAGAGCGTATCACTGATACGATCCCCCACTGATACGGTATCAGCCTGTCCGGCTGAGGGTCTATTGAGCGCCACTGTTCGCTCAACTGTACCTCCACTGTGGAGCTCAATAGCGTCGAGGACGGGCGTATCGCAAGTACATGTTTTTAACAGATAAGGACTTCTTTTACCCAACAAGTGGGGGTACACTATTCCGAGTGAGAGGTACTCAATCTGAGTGGGTATCTACAGCACGAAATCTGAGACCATCATAGCGAGGCCGGTGGGTCCACCATTCATGCCCAGTAATCTTGCCTATTGTCCTGGAGCGTGACACGGAATACGATCAGTAAAACTGGCCATCGATCTTCCCTCTGGAGGCATAAGCATGGGTTGAAGAAGATCAGGATGCACTACAACTCCTATTACAATGCCCCCCAGCCTAACATACTGGATCGTGACTTCGATGACTTCTTCACTTAAAAAAGTTCGCAGTCATGAGACGTGAACTTTTGGAAAGCGCTCCATGTGTTGACCAGATGCAAAGGTCTATGGAATATGAACATGTGCAACGAGGAATTACAAGTTGTAATTTAGAACTCAGGGATACCGAGACCGCCGCCGGTGTGTCCCATTGAGAACAACTTGTTGGGTACGGAGACTGCGAGAACCCTTCTCCTTTACTAGTGGCTCTTCTCCACGGCGTCAAACTGGACAATACCACATAGATCATTGTCGACGCTATCCTTTTCACTTTATTCGTGTATGCGAAACTTTTCTTCATTTCATCGCAATTTTCTGTAAATTTTCCTGTTCGTGTTGTCATGAGCGTGACTCCACACTTAACAAGACGCCTATGCAGACCCATCTATGAGGAGGTGCGAATTCGTGGGATTCGAACTCGGATAACTTGGTCAACTTGCGTTGTCACAAGCACCGTTACACACCAATGAGACTAACTCGCCTCTCGGGGTGAAATCGAAGGCCCAGGTTGGGGTAGGTGCTTAAGGGGCTGTCTACTGCTCGGGAGCCGACTTCTTTGGCTTGTTGGGTACCCCAATTATCCTGACCTAGCTGCAAATTCGCCGACAGGAGTCCACACGAGCCGCCAAAAAGGTTTCATCCAAAAATTTGATTGCTTCGAACCAATATTATGCTAATCACCGTAATGGTGACACCGTCTTATCATATGCCCCTGATGGATGAGTTGTCTGTCATGCTCTGTATAGTATCAACAGGTGATTCATATCTTCCCGAGAGATCTCGTCTCCTGTCTCTCGGTGCCTCAATCGTACATGTGTTCCTCTCTCTATAAGATTCCAACATCCCGTAAATTGCACATTTCTGAGATGTCCCTATGTGGTCCACTCGAGGGCACTTCGAGTCAAATCTAACTTCACGTCAACTCGACAACGAATGGGAGTATCGTGCAGTGGGAATAGTCTTAGACCGCAACACGCAATGGATATACTCTCCTTCAATAAAGTGATGTCTGTTTCATAATAGCGATGAACTCCTCCTCGTTAACTGACAAGCAACACTCAAAGGCAGCGACGAATCTGAGTGGGTTCCGACTGGCAGAGACGGTGATGGAATATACGTTCGGTTTCCTCAGCTGAGCCCAAGAAGTTTACGGTAGAAATGTACGAAAACCAACAAGAATTGGGTTAAATCTCTTCAAAATTTATATTGTCGTCAACACATGTAGTTGACCATGTGCATTTTTCCCCCACTGAATAGAGAGATGGCACTATCAGTGGATCTCACTTTCACCGTCCTGATCTGTATCGAACTCGTCAATCATCGCCTGTAGTTCATCATCCGAGAGGTTTTCTCCCTAAAAGTCTAAAACTGCCAAGTGAAGAGCCAGAAAGTGAACTTACCAGTTCTCTCGCCACCCGACGGAGGTTCTTCAGAGAAATACGACCTACGATAACTGCTTGCCCAAGCCGACCCGAACTCACGATATTCTCACCTGTACCATCATCATCAAAGAGCTTGAAGGCCTTGATCATCTCTTCGGTTGGGTCCCTATCGGCGTATTTGCTTGTCACTAACAGTTCCCAATACACACAAGGCGACTCATCTTACACTCCTACTGATCTCCAAGTAATCATCATAACGGATCGAACCCGTTTGTTGTCGATCATAGTCTCTCATCAGCTCCAACTACAGCGAAGCTTCTTCAACCAGATAGCAAGGATCGTCACTCACCACTTCGGCCTTCTTCACGTCAAAGCCAAGTGCACGCATGCACACCTTGAGCTCGTGGTAATCGATCGATCCACTACGACTGGTATCGAAAAGATCGAACGCTTCCTAAGGCACAGAGTAGCTGAGTAGCTCCGATAAGGGCTGCGCGCACCTTGATCTCCTGTTTCTGTTCCTCGCTGATCTCGGGCCTGCGACGTCTCGTACGGTTCCCTGCGGTACCCGAGAGACCGAACCCTCCGGAGTGGCCGTAAAGTGAGGAGACCATGGGAGAAGGAGGAGGAATAGAATCCGACTGTGGCAGCTGAGGGATACCCCCACTCCAAACGATCATCTGATGTTGAAAAGTAGGACACTCAATTACACGGGGAATATCGTGGTGCATTGCGGCTCGATGGGAATCCTCCTCCTAGGGGAAAGAGTCCACACAGGAACAAAGACAGCTTTCCACAGGTTCAAAGCGGACTCCCTCTTCTCCTCGATTAACAGCATAGTACTCACACCGGCTTGAAGTGAATACGGTAGCTAAAATCGAGCCGCAAGCCTCACAGGCCGGCCTTAGCCATAGTCGGCCCTGTGCCAAACACTGTCGAACAGCAGGTCCAGGAACCACCC